GCCGCCGCCGCCGCCACGGCCGGGGCCAGGAGGGCGCAGCGCCGGAGGCGGGTCAACCTGGACTCGCTGGGCGAGAGCATCAGCCGCCTGACGGCACCCTCGGTGAGCGGGGGCGGAGGAGGGCCCGCGCTCGGGAGAGAGCTGGGCATCGGGAAAGTTGGCGCCGGGCGAGGCGGGGCGCGCGCGCGGAGCCCGACCGCTGGGGGGCAGCCCGGCCTCGCCCCGCCCGGCTTGGGGTTCCCGGGGCGCCGGGCGGTTGAGACCCGGACCCCGGGGGCTCTGGCGGAAGGGGGCATTAGAGCACGGGAAAGGAGTCAGACTTCACTCTTCCGGAATCTCCTGCTTCGGGGACCTGTCTGCCCACCTCCGGCCTTGCTCCCTCCCTCGTCGCGGTCACCCTGACGCCCCAGTGCTCCTTTACACCCACCTGTTTTCTTTCCCCCAAACTTTCCCAGGCGCTGTGTTCTGCAATTCCCATTTCCGTGTCTTTCATCTCTGTTCTCTAGCATCCCAAAGGAGCCCCTACCCCTTCCAGGAAACTCTTCCTCTTTTTTCCCACACTCTCTTGGTCTTAGCGTGACCTTCTCTGACATCTTTGAATTCCACAGGCTATCTGCATTCTATGTTGCATCTCTTTTCTCAAATCTTAAGGAACTGGCTGTCAGATACTTTTTTGAGTTGCCTTCTGATGAAGAAACCTCTAACCTCTTATTTCCTCCCGCCTCATGGCCTTTTTTTTATTCACTGGGTATTTATTGGCTCAACCTTCTTCTCTGGGTAGACTTGGTGTCTGGTTTTCTAAATCTCTGTGGTATTTCTTGCACCCGTACCTCATCCTTCACTCGCTTTTCCCTGGATTCTTCAGTGCTTTCTCCCTCATTTTTTCGTTCCTTCCTTATATGAGGACCTTCAGAAATATCTGTTGAATGAATAAATGCCTTCCTAGTCCTCTCTGAACTTGTGCTTTTTCAGGGATGTCTGTATCAGCAGTTCCAGGTGTCCCCCTGGTTCTGGGTATCTTTCCAGAGCACTTCTGCCTTACTCCTGCTCAGGTACTTCAGCTACCCTTGACTTTCACCGTTTGCAGGAATGCCAGAGCTTGTCCCAGTCTTTCTCTAACTGGAAGAGGTCTGTTCTGAAGGAATCTACTCCACTGGGCAGAAGGAGAAGGAGATTCAGTGTCAAACCTCCATCCACGTTTTATTCTCACCTTGATCTTGGGTACAAGGATGTCAATTCCTGACAGCACTTTTCCCTACCCACCCCTGGGACTTTTATTTCTTTAAAATTTCCAAAATGAATTTGAACATTGGTCTTGTTTGACTATTCTTGAGTCTCCCTTTTGAAAGTACTCTTGCAATTGATAGCAGGAGGGGCCTGAGAAGGAGCGGGATCCTGAGTGACTGGGTACTGGTACCAGGCGGTCCTACAAATATCCTTGTGGCCATTGCATTAATAAAGAATGACCTTCTCTTTTATCAATGAAACTACTCTTCGGTCATCTTCCTCTTCTTGTGTATTTTCCCTTTAATTTACCTTTCTGCCACTTTTCCATTGATAACCTAGAAACAAAACTCAGAATGAGTTGGCTACTGTTTGCTGTTCTTTACTACAAATATTTCCCAGGAAGCATAATCTTAGGAACTGTTTGATGTTGCAAATTGTTGAACATAAACCTTTATAAAAGGAGTCCAGTAATCCTGTGCATTTATAGTTTTGTGTCAGTATCTAAAGCAACATTTGTGTAATATACTAATTCTTCAGTATAACAGATTCATATCTGATACAATGATTTTACTAAAGATAATAATTAGTTTTTGGAGGAATTGTTTTTATAATCCTGGAGCTTTCTTTTTACCTAAGAATCAGAATTTGCAAATTTCTAAAAAGTAATAGCATTGACTCTGGTAATGCCAATTTAACCTTAGACTATTCTCAACATCTTATGTGAGGGGTAGATAAAATAAACTGAACTCAAGTCTTTACTACCAGAATAAAAGGGAGGAAAAAGTCTCTGATTTTTACCTTTATAACCCAAACTTGAATGACTCTTGCTTTTTGCTGGATAAAAAGCATGTACCCAGATAATGGTTTTCAAGATAAGAAATTTGAAAATAATTGCGATGATCAAATATATGCAACAGTTATATGTACTTCCATGCTGCAATTCTTTTCTACTTTAGAAAGGTCTTTCAGCTGGAATGCTGAGAATATACAGGGTGAATATAGTGTAAAAATTTTCAACGTCCTAAGGCACCTATAAACAAATTCTCATTGGCTAACCATATCACCAATAGACTTGGTAACACAAAGAAAACAGATTATATTTCAAAGCAGTGACTTATTTCTGTGGTCTCCACCCCCATTTTCTTTTATTTGACAATCTAGAACACTTCTTCAAAAAGTTCCAGTAGTTTCATTCTCCTATGTTGTCATTATTCTAAACTTCTTGGAACACTTGGGGACATGAATTATGTCGTGTCTATTCTCTGTCACTAGAGCCAAATAACTTTTTAAAAAAATAAATTTCTCAAAATAGCCATTACCGGAGCATTCTTAGATGGGAATTTCTAGCTGTTGACTGTTGTGAACCTTCTTGCATTCGTCACAGTGTATTTAAGGAGAAACTGTACTTGCAATGGAAGCTGCTGTCTTCTTAGTGGTCTCATGGAATGTTGTCGCAATCACTGGAGATTTGTTCTTTATTCAGAATAATTTGCAAGTAGGAAAATGGAAATGAATTTAATAAATACTAGGATATTGCCAAGTAATTACACTAGTTATTTGATGAATGGGATATTCAAAGTCAGGTTTTTGATATTTTAATAGCCATTTTTAGATGCATTGATGTTGGCTATACAGATTATATACAATTTTAATAATAAAAGTAAATTGAATTGATGAAATTGAAAAAATTCCAGAATTCAGGAGACCTAGTTCTCATTCATTCTGCCTTGGACAACTAAATACTTGTGTATCTCTGTGCACATTACTTTAACTCTTTAGGATCCTTCTCATCTGTAAGGTATTATACTTAGGGTCCCTCCTGGTCTTGGGATTCTGTGAAGACATAATATTGTATTGTCAAGCTTTCAGTAAACTCTCATAATGGCCTGTGAAAGAAAAGCAAGCGCATGTCATGAGTTTTAAAACTTTGAGGAAAGAAGATTACTTTCTTAAGTAGGGGCATCCAAGTACTATTTATTCCACCCAATTATTAAAAAATCTTTGAGGATCTACTATGTGGCAAGTATTGTGCAAAGCACTGGCAGTACAAATGCCAAACAAAACAGTCCCAGTCTTTGACCTCATGAAACTTAATTATAGCCTTTGTTTTAAGGAAACTGTATTGAGGGAAAATATCTCCGATTGTCTTGGAGATGTCTAGGGGAAGTTTTATTTATTGTCCACTTTGGATAGTTTTGTTCACTGTGAATCTCTGGGGTGCAGCCATAACAGTAAAAATAATCCTAAAGACCTGGCTGAAGATGAAAAAATCACTTATTACGTTATTTATTTTGAAATAATTTGCTTGGGAGCACATATGGAGAAACAGCTGGGGATTTTACATCAAGGGTGAATTTAGTAATGCGTTTATTTCTATTTTACCCTTATAAATGAGAGTTGGGTAGAATCCTATCATTTTGATGTCGGTTTTGGGTTGGTTAATGTCAGCCCTTCAGTGAAGATATTCCAGGAGACTGACTCAAGGGCAAGGCTTCCCTAGGTTTCTTGTCAGGGAACTACTGGCTATTACAACATTGCAGATGGCTTTGAAGGCTTCAGAAGCTATAGGGAGGAGAACAGCAGGAAGAAAAGTAACAGAACTGGAAGGATGGCAAATAAAAGAAGGAAAGCTACTGATGTAGGGAATAGTCCAAGAAACTGAGAGGACAGGGAGGAAAGAAAATGGGAGGGAAGCCTGGATTCAAGTAGCAAAAAAGCAAAAATTCTTTCAGTATTTTTGGAAAAGAAGTTATATTGATACGTACCTAGGAAAAAGCGAAAGGACATAAAAAAATACGTTTAACCTTTCTTGATATTAAATAAAATAAACTCTCTGATGTGTGTAAACCCTTAAGAAAAACCTCAGAAAGTATGAGTGTAACTAACATGTAAATGATGAAAAATATATAAAATATATTTGTGAGGTAGGATATTTGATGTTTGTGAAGTTTTTAAAATTTGGGGCTCAATTTGGCTAATAAAGTTTTAAGCCACAGATTCATTAAAATTAGAAAATTAGACAAAATATATTTTATAATGTTTTCACATTTGTAGAAATTAGATATTATACTCTGAAATCAGAATTTAATGGCCATCTATTGCTTTTCTCTACCTCACCCCTAATCATTGAGAAACAACGGAGCAGAGTAGTAAGAACAAGAATTTGGAGTTTGACGGACGTAAACTAGAAGAACTCCCTGCTGAGCCCCTTACTAAGGGTGTGACCCTGGGAAAGCAAACTCCTACCTTCTCAGAGCCTTAGTTTCCTATTTTGTGAAGTAGGAATAATGACTACCATATAGAGTTGTTGTGAAAGAGGAGTGATATTCTTTGTAAAACTCCTTGAACTCAGTTAATGATAGTTTCAGGCTGAGATTCATTAATTTCAACCAAATTTGAATGCCTCCAAATGATCTAAAATTTTTCTTTTTTTCCTCAATAATTTACTTGCTATTAGCCTTATAGAAAGAGTTCGTAGGTTAACTGATGTCATGTGCCTAAAAAAAAAGTGATAAGAAGGAGTTTATTTTGTTGGCATTGCCCAGCCAATCTATTAAAAAAATTAAAACTGGATTCCCTTTCTGGCTCCCTGGCTATGACTCGTGTGTACACAAGCATATTAATCACTGCGGATTCAAACATTTCTATCAAACTACTGAATGCTATGTGGCAGTATGGAGACCACTTTTATAAATTCTATAAAAATACAAGGACATATACATTTGGTAGAATGTGGGTATTTCACAATAAATTACTTTTAAATGAGCAAAAAAAGTTAGATAGGTGAAAGAGAAACTGCTTATGTCATTTGCCTGAGAATTTCAAGTGTTCCCCATCCATTGCATTCAAACTAATTTGTCCACGTGTTCAAAGGT